TAACCTATGGTTTAATCTTGTCTTTTGTAGTTTGCTAAAAGGACCTTGCTGTGATTAGGGTGATTATCTAAGTTATTTTTTTTTTTTTAAGATCATTATAATTGTTTTACTTCCTAAAATATTTGTTTAGGACCATTGCTTTTTAATACATCGTGTGCATAGATTATTTTATGATGTCCATGCAGCTAATAAAAACATTCAACTTGTATTGCTACTTATATTCTATTGCCATAATTTAATCAGAAATATCTCTTGATGTTATATTGTGTATGTGGATGTCACAATTCTCCCCACAACCTCCTAATTCACTTGGATGTGGTCAAGGGGAATGGTGGCTTTCATTAAATTATACTGTTGAATAAAACATTGAAAATCATTGATAACCTAAATTTCACAAGTTGATCATTGTTTTAAAAATTATATTTAAAGATTTAGCATATTACATCAGAATCCAGTCCAGACAAGGCAAAGCCAGGACAAACTATGTCAATGAGAATGAGAAAGAGATTACAGATGTGCATGGAAAGAATTTTTGGTTAAAACATTAGCAAAGCAAAGCACTAGCAGCCTTGCCTTGCTCACAGCAACCTTAAAGGGGGTTATTCACCCAGAGCAGAAGCAGCAGCAATTTTTGGAAGTGAGCAGAGGAAAAGGTGGTAGACTTGCAGAAAGAAAGTTAATCCAGAGTAGTGGCGGCAGCAGCAGCATTTGGATATGAGCCAAGGAAAAGAAGTGGCATTCACTTCTCTAATATTACCTCCCTGAATAGGTTCTCTAATACTACCTCCCTGAATAGGTTCTCTAACATTATCTCCCTGAAAAGGTTCTCTAATAGTAGCTCCCTGAATAGGTTCTCTAACCTTACCTCCCTGAATAGGTTCTCTAATAGTAGCTCCCTGAATAGGTTCTCTAACATTACCTCCCTGAAAAGGTTCTCTAACATTACCTCCCTGAATAGGTTCTCTAACATTAGCTCCCTGAATAGGTTCTCTAACATTACCTATCTGAATAGGTTCTCTAACATTACCTATCTGAATAGGTTCTCTAACATTACCTATCTGAATAGGTTCTCTAACCTTACCTCCCTGAATAGGTTCTCTAACCTTAGCTCCCTGAATAGGTTCTCTAACCTTACCTCCCTGAATAGGTTCTCTAATATTAGCTCCCTGAATAGGTTCTCTAACATTACCTATCTGAATAGGTTCTCTAACCTTACCTCCCTGAATAGGTTCTCTAACCTTACCTCCCTGAATAGGTTCTCTAATATTAGCTCCTTGAATAGGTTCTCTAATCAGGGACATATTAGCCGCGAGGCAAACAAGGCATGCACCTTGGGCGGCATTTTCCAGGTCAAATGTCTTGTTATCCTTGCGGCTAACTAAAAATCTGGTCAGGCGCAGAGTGATGCTGGGAGCCAGAATATGACATCAGTGCCGCCCACCCGTCCAGCAGCCACTGGACCCCTGGGAAAGGGAACCCCCCCAGCTTTTCCAAAGGTAAGGAGGCTGGGGGGTTGAATAAAAAAATAAATAAAAAAAGACTGTGTTAATGTGAGTGTGTGTTAGTGTGTCTGTTAGTGAGTGTGTGTTTGTCTGTTAGTGTGTGTGTCTGTTAGTGAGTGTGTGTTAGTGCGTGTGTGTGTCTGGTAGTGTATGTTAGTGTGTGTGTGTGTGTTAGTGTGTCTGTGTGTGTGTCTGTCAGGGAGTGTGTCTGTTAGTGAATGTGTTTGTCTGCTAGTGACTGTATGTGTCTGTTAGTGAGTGTGTATGTCTGTTAGCTAGTGTATGCGTGTCTGTCTGTGAATGCGTGTGTGTATTTAGAAGGCGGGGCATTAGGTTCTTTAATATTAGCTCATTGAATAGGTTCTCTAAAATTAACTCCTTGAATATTAGCTCTCTAAATAGGTTCTCCAATATAAGCTCCCTGAATAGGTTCTCTAATATTAGCTCCCTGAATAGGTTCTCTCATATTACCTCCCAAGGGATGCAAAAACAAAACACTGAACTGCTTTACAGGACAAAGCACTAGTAGCCCTACTCACAACAATCCCTAAAGATGGATAATATTTACTTTTCACTCAGAACAGCAGCAGCAGACTTTGGATCCCAGGGAAAAGGTGTCAATTATACCCCTAAAAAAGAGCTGTTGGCTCATCTACGATAAATCTGCATTAACTTGTAGAGAAGGGTAGTAGGGAAAGTAGGTTCTGAAAGATATGCGTTCACCCTTTCAGAGGCGCTACTCTGGGATGATAGAGCTTAACTGGTTCTGACCAGGGTGGTAAAGATCTTTCCTATGGCTGCTGCTCCACTCTCTCTGTCTCTGCTTGTAGCACCACAACCACAGACACCAGCTAAGTAAGAGGATCTATGCTTGAGTACCACTAGTCGTTTCTCTCATTGCCAAATCCAGCCATTCCTCCCTTATAACATCCCTCATCCCTTAGTATGCATCTCTTGCACTTTATTGACCAGTCTGTCATTCCATATAAGTAGTGTATTACTCCTCAACCAGATTTCCCTTTATTCCTGGGCTGCCTGTGGTGGCCAGTATTAATTCTGTCTATCATTTCATGCATGTGAACTTTCAATTCTGGCTTTAACCTTATTTCCTCTGGATCATAATCGAATTCCTCCTCATGCTCCAAGCCTGCTAGAATTTTTGAAATACTTTTTCGATGGAGGGCGAAAAGTTTACATCTACAGGTAATAGTGATGACACTGATGCTATTGACTGACCCTCCTCTATTGGTACTCTCATATTGGTACTTGCTGCTGACACTACCTTTATTTCACATGTATAAAACTAGTGATAATAGTTGTACTTTGCAATATAGGACTGCTGTTGGCATTTCTGGCACTGATTGTTCTGGCTACATTGCTCCTTGTACTTCTGAGGGTGCTGCTGCTGCCTGACGGCTATTTGACTGTAATTGAATACACTTACACTCTAGTTTTACACCTGCCTTTAACATTTCAAATATAATACAGGTATTCTCTAATTAGGTGATGGTCCAGACAATTCTTTCTAAGGTTTTTGCTGAGTCTATTGACAAATAGTGCTTCTGCCTGCAGCTGATAATACTGCAAAGGTGGATGGCATTGGCTCGGGCCCATCATCATCATCTTTTGAAGGACCAGTCTCCTTTACAGCCTTCTTCTTATAAACCATGTAGGTTGCATTCTTACGGTGCTTGTTACTTTATTAAACAGACTTTATTAACGTTTACATTTTGAAGAGATTGGGATAGGATATGTTTGAAATTCACACAGACCACAACTTAAATAGAAAGAAAACGTAGGTGCACTGAATATATTGGAATTGTTTTAAGCACCAAAATTTTTCTAGAAAACAAAAAGTAATTTCACTTTTTATTTTTGTTTTTTGTTTTTTTATGTCACAGAAAAACAGCTAAAAAACAAAACTGCAGTGCTTTCCATTGCTAGGCCATACTACCCTAAACTAACACTATGTCCTTGAGTCTTCAACAGTAAATACTGAAAAAAAGATGAATTCCCAGCTAGCTCTATTTCTCTAAGTAGACTGCACACTGTTGTTCTCCGACTCAGGGCTCAATGGTATGTCCCTGTAAATAAAAAAAAACTGCAGAAACACGACCAGCCTACCCTAAACTGAAACTACCTTCCTTGCTTCTTCTACTATGATACAAATAATAAAAAAAAGTATTCTAAATCAAAATGCTGAAGAGAATAACTCTCATGTGGTTACAACTCCTGATAAATTCTCTGTCTATTATTCACCAGCTAGCTCTATTATGCTCAGTAGTAAGACTGCACACTGCAAGACACAGAACACAATCCTATTACCAACACAAAGCTGTTGGTTCAAGGTTTCTGTGTTCCAGCAAAAGCAAATAACAAACTGACTGGTAGTCCTGTTTACAGATTTCCGATGATTAGCCTGTGATGCTGGTCACACAATTTGTCAGAAAAATATTCACAAATTATAGTAGAATACTCACAAATATAGTTGCTTCACTATCATTGGCTGCTGTGTGGCATCCACATGCGATTAACAAATGATCTGAATGACCGAATTGCTTACTGACCTAATGCCATGTCATAGTATATAGAGATGTTTTAATCTTTTTTTGAGTAAATGGCCAAAAACCAAAGTTCTTCCAAGCACGAATGCACAGAGAAAAGAGAAACACTCTTTTCCTTATATTTCCTTTATGCCGACTGCCAGGTACTCAGAACCGAGCTTATAAAAATGACTGATAGACAATGGGGTTGTCCAATTGCAGGATAAATAGGTGTGGATTTCTATATAAATATATATTCGTTCAATATTAGGCTACCATTATTAGAAAATTTAGGGAAATGACAGTTCCTGTTTAATCATGGTTACCATATACAGGTACATAATGTTTTCAGGGACACATATAACAAACATTTTGATGGCCATCACATGAAAAGGGTAGCCCTGTAGTATGTATAATTCAGAAGAAGGTGTATAAGATTAAGTAATTAAGCAACAAAGAATCCTGCATAATATTAATACGTTGTTGTTGTTATTATTATTATACGTACAGGTCAAGCAACACTTTTCAAGATTTTTCATAAATATTATTATTATTATTATATATGTGTCCCTGAAAACATGATAGATATGTTAACCCTACCTTTAATATCTGCACAGAACCTCTGTTTAAAATTAGTTCAAGCTCTGCTTTGTATCACTGAGAATATAAATTCTGACTATTTTGTCATTAAAAAGTAACAGTGTATCAACAAATAAACTCAAAATCTGTCGTTTTTTTTCTCTGCAATAAATTATTTTAAAGTAGTTTACACATATTATCAATCCGTGTATAAAATTGTTCATTGCCATAACAGTGTCACTTAAATACTGTATTCTATAATGTATTATGGGGGACTGCCACATTAAATCCTGTGTTTGAAATAGTAAATAAACATGTCAAATCCACTTCAGAAATTATTGAATGATCATTTATTTTGTTGTAACTAATAAAATATGTGGATCTACTCAGAAACATTAATAATAATAATAATAATATGTAATAATAATCAATGGCAAAAAATAAATCACAACATTTTTCTCAGAACAATGTAAATACCAGCAGTGAAAACAGATTTCTGCATCACAAAAAATTATTTATGTCAATAGGTTTTTTTTCAACAATGTCTTATTTAGTATAAATTAATCTCAAGTATGATGGCTTTTAGGTTTGCTGAAATGTTTCAACCTGTTCGCTACTAAGCACTGTTTGATTGAAAAAATATTAGCATAACATGTATTTTAAGCAAGGCAGGCATAGCTGGCATATAAACATATCATAACATAGCTTTGCAGACAAATGTAAGAGCAAACTTGTTCAGTGCCCTTTATCTTGTAATTTTTCACACAGAGTTTGAAAAGTAGTATAAAAGCAAAAATGCAAATCATTTTTTGAAATTCTTTATTTTTGATGTGCATGAATATATCATGGGCATTGCTCGTTGTATAATAGAGATATCAATAGAGTAAGTTATAACCAGCTAGTAAAACAATACAGTAAATTGCACCTTTTTTTTTGCACTGGGTGCTTGCTTAGCCAGAGGTATTAAATATCAAGCTAGACTAGTGGATCTGGGTACTTCTGTGTATGTCCTGGTGTAGAGGGTGACTTGTGATAAGTAAGACCCTGCATCTTCAGCTAGCCAATTACCATCAATGGCAGTGCACAGTCCCGTTCAGTGGATTGTCCAGTCAGGCAAAAGTGACAGGTATTTGGTGCAAACTGCTGTGACAGCTGCCAGAGATGCAAAGATTTATCTGTCCCTGATGAACCCGGGTAAGTGTAAACACATGGTTTAGCTTGTAGAGTCACCTGGGGTAGTGGTCCTCATCTATATTGCATTTTCTCATGATGAATATGATCCCTCCAAGGGTGTTTTATGTGCCGATTGTAATGGTTCACAGTAGGAACGTGTTGGCAGTTCTAATAAGCCTTCCTCGCTTCTTCCCTGTCAGCACTGTTGCAGAGTTTTGCCCAGCGGGCTTAAAGGACCACAATAGTGCCAGGAAAACAAACTCGGGTCCCACTCCCACCGGTCTGAATGGGGAGGAAGGGGTTTAAACACTCACCTTTCTCAAGTGCCGGGCTCCCTCGGTGCTGGGGACTCTCCTCCTCCTTCGGTTGTCATCGGCTGAATGCGCATGTGCGGCAAGAGCCGTGCGCGCATTTAGCCAGTCCATAGGAAAGCATTCTCAATGCTTTCCTATGGACGCTGGCATCTTCTCATTGTGAAAATCACAGTGAGAAGCGCCGAAGCGCCTCTAGCAGCTGTCAATGAGACAGCCACTAGAGGCTGGATTAACCCATATGTAAACATAGCAGTTTCTCTGATACTGCTATGTTTAAAGCAGGCAGGGTTAATCTTAGATGGACCTGGCACCCAGATCACTTCATTAAGCTGAAGTGGCCTGGGTGCCTATAGTGGTCCTTTAACCCCTTAAGGACCAAACTTCTGGAATAAAAGGGAATCATGACATGTCACACGTCATGTGTCCTTAAGGGGTTAAGCTTGGTATTGCTCCTTAGGTGACCAGGCTTTACTGCAGCTGCTGTCTCAGCTCTCATCCTTCGGCGTTCAATTCTAAGCCAAAATTGCGACCACAAGAGCTCAAATATTCTATACAGGTGCTCTGCATGTCAGGCCCAAGTAGTGGGCATTTGGAGAGCTGTGGGTATCTCCTCAGCAGCCACCCTAGCCCGCCAGTCACAGGGAGTCAGCTCCACAGGAACCGCCAGATGCTGCAAAGATGAGTGGGTCACCACTCGTGTGTGGACCGTGATAACTCCCACCGAACCAGAGTGGGGGAGGTAGGAGCAGGATGGGTCCAAGTAATCAATCGAGGAGAGCGGCCGCCTCTCCCCCCCCCCAGTCGCCTGTAGGCCACAACCCTGTCCCGTCATGGAGCCTTTAGCCGCCAGCGATATTGCCGCAGGTGGGTAGCCACAGGGGTTCTCGAGAGTGCACAGCATGTGTGAGGAGATCTTAAACAGCTTTTGGCAGATTTAACAGCTTATGGCAGTCAGGCCCCGCCCCCCTCCCCCTCAAAATGCAAGTTTTACATACAGTAGATGTGACAAAAATAAATAAAAATGGTCAAATACCAAACAGTATGTGACATGCACACATAAAGTACATACACTTAAATCATGTATTTCTAAAATAAAGGTATTTAAAACTGCTATAGCAATCATTGAAACTTCACATTCAAACTTGCTACACTGTTTTAAGAAGGGTGGAGCACACATTTTCGGCAAACTTGCAGGCGTTATATCAGTGACTCGTGGTTTCTGGTGCTTGAAAAAGCATTCCTCATCATTGACTCATAATTGAGATTATAAAATATTATATTGTTTAAATTTGAAATGTGTTATGCAAGAGGAGTGCAAGCACATTGTTTAGAACTTATTAATTACACATTATATACTTAAAGAAATACTATAGTCACCTAAACAATTGTACCTTAAAGAGGCAATTTTGGTGTATGCCTCTGAAGTTTCACTGCTCAATTATCTGCCATGTAGGACGTAAATCACTTTTGTTTCTGTCCTTTTAGTACTAGCCAGACCTCCCCTAGCTGTGACTGACACAAAATGGTTTCATTTTCATCAGATGTAACTTACTTTAAAAAATGTTAATTCCTGCTTTGTAAATTGAACCTGAATCACATACAGGAGGCTCCTGCATGGTATAGCAAGCTATTAACAGAGCAGGAGATATGACATAAATATATATAAATTAAACAGAATTTGCAATAAAGGATGTGTAAACATTAGATAACAAATTACAGGAAGTTTTTAGGAAGGCTGTGTAACTCACATGCAGGGAGGTGGGCCTTGGGCTGCATTAAGAAAGTGATTTAAGTCCTAAATGACTGAGAATTGAGTAGTGAGACTGCAGGGGCATGATCTATACTCCAAAACCTCTTCATTATGCTAAATTTGTTTTGGTGACTATAGTGTCCTTTTTATCTGGAAGACTAAACATATTGCATTTGTAAGCGGTTTTTTGTTTTGATATATTCGAGTAATTCTAGTTATTAGTTTATTCATGTGTTGGTTTTCGTGTTTGTTTTAATTTTGTTTGAGGTTTCCTAGCATAGTTCACATTTCTAACTAAAAACATAGTAAGACCCTTCGCAAGCGGTATGCCTGAGATCAAGTGTAATTTGCACTAAATGCATTGTGTACTTACTCATGGTATTTAATACTCTGCATACATTGTGGTGAAGGGATTTTTTTTTACTTGTTAAAGGGAGATTAAAGTACTCTAATACTCTTCCCTGCAGGTTTATTCTATAAAAGTGTTAATTTTAATAGAAATTTACATTTTTATTAATCCCTCTAGCATCTTGAGTCAGCATGACTTTCTTCCTTATTTTGATCTATATTTCAAAGTGGAAGTGTCTCACAGGAAAGCATTGCTGGTGTGTCTCAGTGCTTACCTATGGGAAACATTTCCGTGGGCACGTGTTTTCCGTGTCATGTCCAGCAGGTACAATTCATTGCTGCACTATAGAAATATAGCTTTTAAATATAATCTGTGTAATGTATACATAATACACATACAACAACAAGTAAAAAGTGGGGCAACAATAATGTCTAAAAAGGTTTTCCTATAAACTGTGCCAATAAATGTGCAAACAAAAGCAGCACCTAAAGTGCAATTGCCCCTATGCATACACTCCAATACATCTATATTTGTTTTTTAATGTATACACACATTGGTCACCCAGTAGTAGTAGTGTGACTGAATTCAGTATGAGAAGGGTTAATTTAGTTGTATATGAATGTGCTAAATTTTAGATCACAGAAAAAGGTTTACAATATGAATTCTTACTCAGCCCACAATTATCCTTCTGCCAGGTGTGAACAGATATTTGTATCTGTTGTTGTTGTAAATTATTTGTTTACCATCTATGTTTCTGTTGTTTGCACTTTGACTATTTCATAATAAATATTCCAATATTAAGTTCTTGTGTGAACCAAGGCTCCTTTTATTATACATTAACGTGGTGATGGCAGCTTTTGATACTAAAGTTAAGTGTGGTTGGTGTTAAGTGATTATTTTAATCAGTATTTTTGGTCTAGGCAGACAAATAGTGAATTTTATCCTTTTTAGCCCCCAGAACCAAGTCACTAGCATGCTTGGAGTATTTGTGACAATCCATAATGATGACTTCACAGGAGGACCAGAGTTGCAGTAAGGAGACTGAACCAGGTGAGTTTAATTGACTTGGTGCAATCATTGGTGCAATCCCAATCCTCCAGTTGTCACGACAGTGACCCAAACATGCAGAGTGCAATCTATAAGGAAGCGTATTACCGGACCTTAGTGTGGCCGGGTTTAATGCTATAGAATAGTCAAAGAAATAGTCAAGAGTCAGGGGATACCCGAAAGTGGAGACACGAATAAACAAGCCAAAGTCAGGATACCAGAGAGAAGAATAGTCAAAAAGGGTAAGCCAGAAGTCAAAATACCAGAATAACAATAGAGAAACTATATAGCACTAGAGGGAACCAAGAAAGAACCACAATAGGGCACTGAACAAGTGTAAAAGGTGCCCTTTTATAGTGTAGTGCTTGTAGCATTAATTCCATGCCCCCAAAATGTCAGGGAGTGTGGAATCATTTGAATTTTTAGCGGCAGTATTGTCATGAATTTCACGCTCATGCGTCGCATCATAAGAAGAGGCGTGTTTGGAGCGGCCGGAGTCAGACAGGCTACGCCGCTTCCCGGAAGTGTCGGAAGAAGAAGCCATGCCGCGTGGGTCTGGAGGAGAAAGGTAAGATATCGTTCCCTCCCCCTCGAGAACCGCCCACTGGGCAGGGAGAACCAGACCCACGAGAACAGCGTTTGCGAAACCAACAAAGTAAATGAGGGGCATAAACATCAGAGGCATCAACCCATGACCTCTCCTCGGGACCATACCCTTTCCAATCAATCAGATATTGGAGTTTACCCCTACCTGACTTCCTATTTGTTTTGACCCTCCACGAGTATTGAAGGAATGTTTTTTGATATAACAATTACATACCAAAGGTTTAAGGAGAGAAACATGGAAGGCGTTCGGTATTTTCATAGAGGCGGGCAAGAGCAACCTGTAACAGACTGGGTTAATGCAATTAAGTATTTTGAAAGGACGAATATAACGTAGAGCAAACTTCATCGAGGGTACTTTCAGTTTAATATTACGTGTACTTAACCACACCTTGTCACCCACAACATAAGTAGGAGCAGCTCTATGAGATCTATCTGCAGTACACTTTTGTGTCTTGGACCTTTGAACCAATATTTGTTTAACCCCTGACCAAATTTCCTTAATACTTTTCATAGTGCTGTTTACACTCTGCACTCCAGTAGAAGAAAGGGAACTCAGAAGAGTAGTAGGGTCAAGCCATAATTGATAAAAAAAAAGGACTGTGTTGCGTAGATTCGTGAACCTGAATGTAATGGGCAAATTCAGCCCAAGGGAGTAATTCCACCCAATCGTCTTGATGATCGGAAGTAAAGCAACGAATATACTGCTCGAGTGATTGATTCATCCTTTCAGTAACGCCATTGGACTGAGGATGATATGAAGAAGAAATATTAAGGTAAATGCCCAATTGGTTAAAGAATGCCTTCCAAAACCGAGAAATACATTGTGGACCCCTATCAGAAGTTATATCATTCGGTATGTAAGCGAACAACCTCCCTTATAAACAGAGTGGCCAATTCAGAGCAAGACGGCAGTTTGACCAAGGGAACAAGATGCGCCATTTTTCAACTATAAAATCCATGGCAATACTAGACCAAGGTTTATCAGGAATGGGTAACGGCATGAGAAGGCCACAAGGATGTCTTTTAAGTATTTTGGTAGATGAACAGATATTACAGGTAAGAACAAATTCTCTGACATCCTTCTTGTAGGAAGGCCACCAAAATTTCTTTTCAAGGAGGGATTCAGTTTTATGGATACCGGGATGACTGGCTATTTTGGAATTGTGCATCAAGGACAAGACTTTTTCCCTATGAACAAGAGGTACATATAATTTCCCCCGGGGAATGGGTAAAGAAGAGTGATGCTGGAGTTTGGATAATTTCTCCAGTAAGCCAGAGGAGACGTTAGCTTGGATGGTGGCTATAATGCGTTCGGCTGGTATTATGGATGATATTTGGGTCTCGGTAGAGGATTGTGGTTCATATTGTTGGGACAAGGCATCAGCCTTAGTATTCCTTGATCCAGGTCTATATGTCACTATGTAATTAAAACATGTTAATAACAAGGACCAATGGACCTGTCTGTCTATCTGTCATTCTTTTAGCTTCCCCGAAATAGGGAAGGTTCTTATGATCGGTAAGTATGGTAATAGGTATAACAGACCCCTCGCCACTCCTTGAGGGCCGAAATGATTGCCAACAATTCCCTGTCCCCAATGTCATACCTTTTTTCAGTCTCTGTCAATTTTTTTGAATAAGAACCGCAAGGATGTAAAGGTAGATCATCTGAGGGTTTTTGGGATAATACCGCCCCTATACCAGTCTCGGATGCATCCACCTCTAGTAGGAAAGAACGAGAGGGATCGGGATGTCTTAATATGGGTGTTGATGAAAAGGCTTTCTTTAATGCCTCAAAAGCAGCCCTAGCTTCTGGACTCCGAACTGCTTCTGGACATGATAGGAGCAGTAATAGAGGAAAATCCTTTGATAAATTTCCTATAATAGTTGGCGAAGCCTAAAAAAACGTTGTATCGCTTTTAGACCAATAGGTAAGGGCCAATGTAAGATGGCCTCAAGTTTCTCAGGTTCCATCTGAAAACCAGAACCCGATATTATGTACCCCAAAAAGTGTATCTTGTCTTTGTCGAAAATACATTTTTCCAATTTACAATAAAATCCATTCTCTAATAGTTTAGATATGACCTGTCTGACATGATGTTCCTTGATGTTCTTAGAATAGATCAAGATATCATCTAAATAAACAATTACAAACTCTTGTAGGTTATCTCTTAACACATCATTCATGAAATGTTGAAAGACTGCTGGGGCATTACATAAGCCGAAGGGCATTACCCTATACTTGTAGTGGCCATGATGAGTAGTGAAGGCTGTTTTCCATTCATCCCTGTGTTTAATTCTAACTGGATTATATGCCCCTCTTAAATCTAGTTTAGTAAATATAGATGCTCCCTTAAACCTGTCAAATAGTTCTGTTATTAAAGGTATTGGGTAGGCATTACGTATGGATATTTTATTCAAATCCCAGTAGTCGATACATGGTCGTAAATCCCCCTCTTTCTTTGAGACAAAAAAGAAACCTGCCCCAGCAGGTGAAGAGGACTTGGTTATGAAACCTTTTCTTAGATTCTCTGTAATATATTCTTCTAGTACCTTATTTTCATTAACTGTGAGAGGATACACAGTACCCCTAGGAGGCATAGTACCAGGTAGTAGGTTGATAGTGCAGTCATATAAACGATGAGGCGGTAGTTTTTCAGCCTCCTTCTGTTCAAAGACTGCCTTAAGATCAAGATATGCCTCTGGTACTAGAGTCGTTAAAGGTATCATAGTAGGAACATTAAGCAAACCCTTCGAAACATGAAACACCCCATCTAATAATTTCTTTCCTCTCCTAATCTATCATAGGACTATGCTTGGAAAGCCAGGGAAAACCAAGAATGACAGAGAAGGTAGGAGAGGTTATCTGCTGTATGATTATCGTTTCCTTGTCGCTCTAGTAATAAAAGGAACGGACAGGGTGTGGATCTTGCTTGAAATGGGAGAGAATGTTTCTGACCGATATTCATATCTATGAAATTCCCATTCCAGAATAACGGGTAGTAGAAGTCTTAGAAGACATACACATTACACCCAAGTCCTGTACTCCTGGAGGGCTTAGGTGTTGGAGTCTTCCAGCCTACTGGGGCAGGCTAGATGTGAATGGCCCTTCTTCCCACAATACAAGCAAAGTCCCTCCCTTCTTCGATATTGCTTTTCAGCATCAGACAGCCGAGTAGCAACTAGTTGCATAGGTTCAGAAGGAGTGACAGTGGCTGCTTCAGAGGAAAGAAAGGTTAAAGCCAAACGTTTCAGAATATGTCTTGGCCTGTCCCTAGTGTTTTGCCTATGTCTTGGGCGTTCGTCGATGTGGGCTAGGTAAGTTATCAAATCCTCTAAAGCATTGGGTAAATCCCTAGTAGCTACCTCATCCAGTATTTTTTCAGAGAGCCCATTCATGAACACATCTATAAATGCCTGTTCATTCCATTTCACCTCAGCAGCATAAGTATGCCTCATGCGCAAAAGGGTCTTAGCGGCATTAGTTCATCTCCCAGGGGGGTCAAACGTTCTCCTAAAGGCAACGATAAATTGTTGTTCTCCCATAAGGGGATAGCCCAAACTAAAGCCCTATTGACCAAGACGGTTATTATATATCCGATTTTAGACTTGTCTGTCGGATATGCTCGGGGATGGAGTTCAAAGTTAATGCTAACTTGGTTTAAAAAACCACTACATCCCTTGGGATCACCCCCATAATGCAGAGGAGATGTAGCGTGGTTTGTTGAACCCACTGCGTCTATCTCCATGTTCTGGACGTTAGGTATAGGGACCAGTATTTGCTCATGTGGTTGTAGATGAGCAGTACGGGCCAACAATGTTTGCACAGCCATGGCAAACTGGTCCATACGGTGGTCCAATTCCTCAAATCGGTTATCATGAACCGGCCCATGTAGATTAGCACTTGCAGGGTCCATGGCCCTATTGTAATGTCACGACAGTGACCCAAACACGCAGAGTGCAATCTATAAGGAAGCATATTACCGGACCTTAGTGTGGCCAGGTTTAACGCTATAGAATAGTCAAAGAAATAGTCAAGAGTCAGGGGATACCAGAAAGTGGACACACAAATAAACAAGTTGAAGTCAGGATACCAGAGAGAAGAATAGTCAAAAAGCGTAAGCCAGAAGTCAAAATACCAGAATAACAATAGAGAAACTATATAGCACTAGAGGGAACCAAGAAAGAACCACAATAGGGCGCTGGATAAGCGTAAAAGGCGTCCTTTTATAGTGTAATGCTTGTAGCTTTAATTCCACGACCCCAAAATGTCAGGGGGCGTGGAATCAATTGAATGTTTGGAAACATATTGTCATGACGTTGACGTTCATGCGTCACGTCATAAGAAGTGGCGTGTTTGCACCAGCTGGCGTCAGACTACGCCGCCTCCCGGAAGTGTTGGAAGAGGAAGCCATGCCGTGCGGGTCTGGAGGAGAAAGGTAAGATATTGTTACACCAGTGAGACGGGTCCCGGCTGGTGCAGCGTTCCCGTTCTTAATAGAAAAATACACAGTACCCACGCTGTCGGCGCACATGCATGTTTTGGGGACAAAGGCCACATACTGATCGACCACAGCACCAAGAGGCATATTTAAACCCTGTAATGTCTTTTCTCAGTGTCCTGTCGAGGTTTCCACTTGTTGTCAGAGAGGGCGTTCTTGTTAATAATTTTTGTTTTTTGACATTGGCTTGTATTTTGACTTTCCCTACTTCTGGTATCCTGATCTTTGGCTACAATTTTTTCGTATTGTCCTATTCTGTATCCCTGACATTGGCTTGTTTATTGATCTTTCTCTTTAATGTTAAGTCCAGCCATTCTAAGGCCGGGTATACGTTGTTATTGAGTTATCATAGTTTTGCATGTTGGGTCATACTGTAGACGTGACAATATGTTAGGGAAGAGCTGAAATGTAGCTAAATAGATCGAAGTACATTTGAAATCCAGAGAGTGAGAAAAGAAGTGTGTACATGCTTGATTGAAAATATGGAATATTATTGGAGAAGAGGGAGATGTAGTACCTTAGTACCTAAAGAAAGGGAGATTTGAAGGATAACAATTTGGAGCACTAAAATAAGGGTGTTCAGGTTGACTATAAGGGGGTGGATGAAAAAGAAGTATAGTAAAATCCTGCTTAAATTAATAGTATGGGTGTGTATAGCGTTATGGGTTATGGCACAGTGCAGTAGACTCTACTGAGCAGACTATGGTGTCATGATATTGTAAGCAGTAGATAAAAAGGGAAAATGTGACTTAATTTCTCAACAGTGATGTATAGAAAATCAAAGTAAGGAAACACTACTTTAAATTGAATTACTAAAATTAGATTACAAGGCACAAATAGAAAAACCAAAATATTCAATAAAAGTCACAAATGAAAAATATATTCAGCATATATCCTTGAATAAATTTATTAGAATTTTCTCCTAACTTGTCATTGTTTTATTCACATTCTGAGTTAAAGACAATCGCTGAAAAACTGTATATGTGCTGTTTAGTGCAGCAAAGAAAAAAGTCCTATTTTGTTATGAAACATCACATCACGTTTATAAAATTCTGATATGTTTCTAAGCTTGTGATATGCCAAAGTGAATCATTTCCCTGACAGAAGGATAGTAACAAAGTATAAGTGAACAAGCTTCAGGATAAACACATGCAGCTCTATAAAACTGATGTATGTTGTAAGAACTGCTAAGAATAGAACCAGGGGGAGGGTTGATAGAATGTGCAAGGTACAGCCTTAGGTAAATTTTGGAAATCAAACTGCCACCTAAAATACATGTGATCTAACATCTCGAGAAGATAAAAGGAACAGTATATTCTCAGAGGATATAAAAATCAAATATTTAGGATACACTACACTTTGATTTTTTTGCAGGTTTAGTCTCCCCCCAATTCTTTATCGTTGTCACAGTAACACAAATCAAACCAAGATGTACAGCAAGCCTGAAGCCATGGTTTCCAAATGATATTGCTCCATGATAACTGATTATCTATCACTTGAAGGGATTCTGTATGGTTTTGTGCAGCTTGCTGAATTGTTCTAAGAACGGTATAATAGATTTGTGTCTGGGGTGTGAGTGGATTTTTTTCTTCTGGGTCCTTAGACAGATCAAAGAGTAATAAGGGGTCATGATGTGTAACAAAATCGCCATAACAGAAGCAGACATGGGAATCAAAGCAGCCATTAGAACCCTTGGGTTGAAAGTTTGGCGTGAAAAAGAAAGCCTTCCAAATTGATTTACCTGAAAAGACAAAGAAAATAGGACGAGTTAAATTGTTTTGTGCATGACTAATTTCTATTATTCTATCCAGAATACACTTCTAACATTTCTCACACATTAAAGAAGACCTTCTTTGGTTTGCATATGGAACGTTTAAAGCTTACATGTTTGTTACAGCCATGTCTTCCTTTTAAGTTTCTGCTTTCAAATTGTTTAACCCCAAAACAAAACGTAAACAAAAACTGGAATTTGAGCTATATGTCTGCTCAACCGTAATTCACCGCTGTCACATTAAGTGCACCCATACTTATTATATATCATTTTGTTCAGGAGAAACAGGGCTTTAATTTATCATTAACTATTCATATATGGAACATAATTTATTATGAATAAAATTAAAAAAAAATGTGAGAAAATAAGATTTTGTTTTTTACATTTGTATTTCCGTCTGACATTTAGTCATAATACTGTTAGGTTTTACTGCAAAAAAATGCACATATTTGATCAGCGATGTCTCACAAGTACAATAGTATCCCCCATTAACAGGTTTTATGGTGTTTTGGAAAGTTACAGGGTCAAATATAGAACGTTCCATTTTCAAATTGAAATTTGCCAGATTAGAATGTTACCTTTGAGACGGTGTGGTAGCCCAGGAATGAGAATTACCCCCATAATGGCATACCATTTGAAAAAGTAGACAACCCAAGGTATTGAACGTGGGGTATGTTTAGTCTTTTTTAGTAGCCACTTAGTCACAAACACTGACCAAAGTTAGCATTAATATTTGTTTTTGTGTGAAAAAAGCAAACAACTAATATTTGGCCAGTGTTGGTGATTAAGTGGCTGCTAAGAAAGACTGGACATACCCCACTTGCAATACCTTGGGTTGTCTACTTTTGCAAATGGTATGCCATCATGGGGGTAATTCTCATTCCTGGGCTACCATACGCTCTCAAAGGCAACATAACCAATCTGGCAAATTTAAATGTCAATAAAATGAAATGCAAGCCTTATATGTGACTCTCTAACTTTCCAAAACACCATAAAACCCATATATCGGGGGTACTGTTATTCTCGGGAGACTTCATTTAACACAAATATTAGTGTTTTAAAACAGTAAAACATATTACAACAATAATATAGTCCATAAAAGTGCTGTTCGTTTGTGAAATATGCAAAAAACTTCACTTTTACTTAAAATATCATCGTTATAATACAATTTATCATTTGGAAACACTAATATTTGAGTTCAGCGAAGTCTCCAGAGTAAAACAGTAACCCTTATGTACAGGTTTTAGGGTGTCTTGGAGAGTTAAAGAGTCAAATATAGTGCTTGCGAATTAAATTCTCTAGACTTTCTCCCTGTGTTGTCAGGCATGTCAATCAAATTTTAATTAATCAAATCACATAATTATGTTAAAAGATTACTTAAATATACATGTAGAATTTTAATATATATGCATTTATAGGTATTTAAATTCTACGTGTATACTAATGTAATCTTTTATGTAATTATATGTATATATCTATATATATATATATATATATATATATATATATTTGCGGTTATTTGTATTTTATATATAGATATATATAGAATGTCATTCTAAGTGTATTTTGTTACATATATATATATATATATATATATATATATTAAAATATATATAACAAAATACAGTTAGAATGAAATTACATATGAATATATAATTTATATTAAATTTTGTTTCAATATTTTATTCATTTTATTATTTTATTTACTATTGTAATTATAAGTATATATATATATATATATATATATATATGTGTATATATTTATTATATATATAATATATATGTACTTATATTCATATTAAAATACACTTTGTATGATGTTACATATATATAATATGTATATATATTATATATATAATAGATATACATATATTATATATATAAAAATACTTTTCATTAATTTTAAACATGTTTAAATTTTTTTTTTTACACTTTCCACCAGCAGGGGGTCTGTCTGATATTTCAGACAGTCCCCCTGCTGGCAGATCCACAGCCAGTTATAGGGGGCTGTGTGATCGCTCTTTGAGAGCGATCACATGGCCCCCGGGGGCCTCATTTGCCGGGGGAGGGCTGCCTGGGCTGTCAGGCAGCCCTCCAGAAGAGGATTGCGGCGGAGGTAAGTACACCGGACCTCCAGGGGCTGCAAGCCATTACGGCGTTCTATGCTGCCGCAATGGCTTTAAAGCCCTTTTAATGCAAGAAGCCATAGAACGCCGTAACGGCGTTAAGGGGTTAAAAGAATCCTTTTTTAAAAACAATGTATTTAGAAATGCCATTCTAGACAAAAATATACAAGGAAACTAGTTGCCTAAAATGCTTTATATGTCATACGTCACTCTGTTAGTGATAGGAAAATAAACTGAAGTGTATGAAAAAAAAAAAAACAAAGCAAACAAAAAACAGAAGATTAGCAAGGAAATCGACCGATGAAGTCTACCTTCTGACTGAGGAAGGGAAGTAAAAGTTTCAATGTAAAGTGCAGCATGTTAAGAGAAGTATGTTAACTGCTAACTATGACATGTTTAAGAAATAAAGGAACCAATCAAATGCATATGTATAGGTATCAAACCGAGAACACACAGATGTACACTAATCACTTGCAGGGATGCTCCGTGAAGGTCAGCTTTAGAAGTAACTGCATAGACCTCCTACTAAGCTTCCTCAGTACAAAGCCCCTTACATCGCAAGATCACAGAAGGCAACTGTATTTTTCTCCCACTTGTGTATCTCTACCTGCTGCCATATAGTTATTTTTGAATATGACCTTGATTGCCTACATGCATGATACACGTTTAGGGATATATCATTAAAAATATATAACAACACATAGGCAGCTTTAAACCCTTCCTTCATCCAAAATAAATATCTAAACATTTTTTTTAGCTTTTATCATTATAATTATGTTTATATTGATTAGAAAGTTAATGCCAAAAGCTTTATAAACGATAATGGCAATTTTAACAAGCTTTTGCAGAGTAAAGTGAATTTGTATTAGGAAACGTCACACATCGACCTCAATTTAATAAATTATTGCTAGAAAAACTTTGTACCTGACTTACAGTATGTACAGAAGTCACATTTAAACCATTATATGATAAATCACTTGAAAAAGGTTTTCTAACAGTATTGAATCATTTATAAAGCTAATTATTATTAAAGCTATATGTAAAACAGATTATGTAAAAATAAGTTGTTATATTCAGCTGTGCCAATAAAATATATACTTGTAATGCTATGAATAAAATAACATAGAGACACCAATATAAAGATACGCTTTCAAAAACAGAAATTCTAAAACTCTGCAATAAGGCTTTCATAGTTATGCAAATAGTGCAATGTGGCAACAATTTATTAAACAGAATAAAACATTAACTTGTAATATAACACACTCACAATACTTTGGCATAAAACCTGAAAATATTGTGTAACTGTGCATACAGGTATTTACAAAAAACAACAACAAAACATGGATCTGATCTACCAATCATCTTTATCAATATCAAAGGTAGTCAATTGTCCAATGAGATCTCCAAACAATCTTAGTGCCTCAGGGTCATTCACAGGTATGGGAAATAGAATTTCAATATAGCAAGATTTAGAAGATTAATCAGCAGTTCTATTCATTATGTCTTTATTATACTTCAAAGATGAAATGCATTGATCTGCTGAACTAGCACACATAAAGGTAACAGAAGCTCTAATGTTTGAATGTTACAGTCTTTACATTATATAATTAAACATTGCTAACAGAATATTATTTAAACAAGGAAAGATATTTCCTGGTTTATTGATGTGACCGATAACTTGACAAATGGAACAAGTTAAAAAGATATTCTTGTAATGCTATGAATTACACACACCCCTATTCATATAACTGATGAAGAGTAGAACATTTCACTGATTTTACGTTTCTGGGATTGTATATCTCATACGATCAGTTTAGAAGCACAAATTCCACTGCTGTAATTAAAGCACAACAGTCTCTCTTTTTCTTGAGAAAACTAAAAATAGCCTAGATCGGGGTGCCCAAAAGGTAGATCCCTAGATGTGTTTAAACTACAGATTCCATGATGCTTTGTCATTCTAGAGCATACAATGCATACAACCTTTTAGTCAGCCCTGGTCTAGATTAGTGGTCTCCAACCCACTCCTCATGGACTACCAACAGTCTAGGTTTTGTCAGTATCTCCATTGAAATAAAACAAGGAAATTCATAAATCATAGACTGTTGGTGGTCCTTAAGGACTGGGTTGGAGACCACTAGTCTAGATAATGACCAAATGTTATCGCTGTACAATTAAGAGTATTTTAACCAATTACACCTCATGTTGTGGAAACTGCTCAGTTGCTGATACGAAGGCTCTTCAACAAGCAGTAAGGACTGCTCCGTACATTATTGGTGTTCAGCTTCCACCAATCTAGGAAATATACAACAAACGCTGTGCATGGAAAGTAAAAGGAATCATTAAGGATACATTTTATCCTAGTCATGGATTATTTAGTCTTGTTCCTTTAGGGAAATATTTTAAGACCTGTACTGATAGACCTGTTTGGGAATATTTTAGTTCCCTCTGCGGTGATGCTTCTGAATCCTTGCCTAGGCGTTAGCTCTTAGTAATAGAATTGTATGACAGAGGTTTCTGTTGTATTGGCTGGATTGCTTTGCCCTAGGTTTTGTTAAAGATGTGTATATTGGTTTAGAATTTGAACTTAGTGTTTTTTATCTCACTTCATGTTCATGGTCTGTGTTCACATCTTGCACTTTATATACACATGGTCCATGTGATCTTATTTTGTATGTATTTACATCTTGCACTTTATACACATGGTATAATTTTCATTTTACTTACATGGTCTATGTGCTGACATTTTTTCAGTTTATGCACTTTGCCTATGTGCTCATATTTTGTATTTTGTCATAATATATAAAACTTTAATTTATATTGTATTAATTGTATTTGTAGTTTAATGCACTTATTTGTACTTCATGTACGGGTTTAAATTGGATAGATGTTTTAGTTGGATGTAGACGGTAGGTTACATAGTCGTATTGTGTCATATCTATATGTATTACTGGGCTGCTAATGTAAGGATTGAGGGATTTATATATTTAGATATTAGATGTATTATGACATTATGTGGACCGCTTAAGTTTTGAGTTACACTCTCTATTTTATTGGATTTGTATTAATCACTGCTGTATTTCTTTTCAAATAATTTTTATTAAAGTTTTTTTGTATAACAAATGATAATAATACAAACATTGTATTAGGGGTAGGAAAGGAGGGGTAACTTGGAAATGGGAAGGGGTATCCATCCATCAATGAAATAAACATATTAAAGTATATGGCAAAAAGAAAAATGTTTTACAACAATGCACTTTAACAATAAATATATCAAAGACCATAAACCGTTTTGATTTTTTCTTCCCATTTATCCCAGTTATATTTTAGCATTGGGAAACCATGCATTTTGGTTCTGTGTGATAATTCATGTGCCTTATGTTCTAAAATCAAATTAAAAACTTCTCTGAGAGATGGCACATTTTGAGACTTCCAATGTCTAGGTAAACAGGATGTAGCAGCGATCAGAATGTGGCCTATGATTATTTTATCTCACTGCTGTATTTCTGATTGGAGGCAAGCTGTTTCATTGTCTTTGTATGTACACTGTACAAGGATAATCACGTTAAATATCTGGGCAGCTAAATCTGTAGGTTCTAAATAATTACCTAACCTATTACTTTTTGTATTATTATTTTAGTACTTAGTAGTCAAAATTGCCTAAAAAAATGTCTAGGCATATCAATATAGTTTAAATAATTCGAATACTAGGCAAAATTTCATTTAGTATGCATTATATTCAGTAACAGATATAATGTTACAAAACAAATGTTGTCTAGTTTACATATATTATTTCCCAGGGTTTATGTATAGTTGTTGAAAGAATATTGTAGTAATACTGACTTTTTTTTTTTTCTTTTCAAATACATCTTATTGCAAAATGTTTCAATATTTTAACAATAATAAACAAATAAAGAGAATTACATAAACAGGGGAATAAAAATGAAAATACACATCTGAGAACAAATAATTCACATGAATAAAAATCATCAAATAAATGTAATAAGCTGCTGATAGACAACAAAGCCATCAAAGCCCCAAATCAAAATTAGATACAATAAAATGAAAATAAGTGCTCTCTATCTGATAATAGCTGCAATTCACCAACAAGGACTTCCCTTACCCTTGTGAAAAACAAATCAAAACAGATAAAAACAACTAGGTGAACAGCGCTAGAGATATGAATTGCATACATAGAGGGAGAGAATGATATCCAAAGATGTATATCTTAAAATACAAAGGATACAATAATAGTGCCATATGTAATTACCCTACATACTATACTATTGGGTTTATTTTTCTTCTCTTTTCATATGATGACCACTTGAGAGCCAAGTAGTGCTGATTTTTACAAAGAGATCCTTAGATGGGGATTATTCTGTCCAGGCTCAAGTAATTGTGAGTTTTTCTTTTGGCACTATTCAAATATCTACACTATTGTAATTACATATTGCACTATTAGTGTGTCTTTTTTTTTTTTAAGATATACATCTTTGGATATCGCTTTCTCCCTCTACGTATGTAATTCATATAGTGCCATTCACCTAGTTGTTTTTTATCTGTTTCAAAATCAAAATTAGAATCATAACAGATAATACACCTGGCCGAGTGAAAGCCATATTTACAAAAAAAACTCACATCTGTTGTTCTCTTCCCACATTGCCCTCTCATGCCTCAGAATATTAACTGCAACCGATGGCTGTCTAAATGCTAGTTCACACCTCTTATTTTCAAATTGTACATCTTCAATTGGTGATATAGTAACAGTTTTACAATACCTGGGGATTGCTGAAATGGCCAATAGTAGGAGATGACTTAACATAATAGTTTTACTTTTGGACAAATCAGGGATTTTCTTGAACAAACAAAGTTCCAGTGATAGTGTTGCAATGGAATCAGTAATGGTTTTGATTACAGTCATTTTTCAAGTTAGGACACATCCACAATGATGCATCCTTGACAGGTTCTTACACAGGTTGATCCAACCTACCTATCCTCCCTAATAAACAAGTATGCCCCATCTAGGCCAAAACGATCTGCCGAAGACAAAACAAATTGTATGAGTTTTCTGTTGCATTGGCTGGATTGTTTTTTGTCCAGAGGTAAATTGAGTCTTGTTCAAGATCTGTATATTGGGTTATAATTTGAATTTAGTGTTTTTTTTTTATCTCACTTTATGCTCATGGTCTATGTGTTCACATTTTGCACTTTATATACACATGGTCCATTTGCTCTTATTTTGTACGTATTAACATTTTGCACTTTATACACATGGTATAAGTACTCACATTTTGTACGTATTCACATCTAGGCCCATAGGATCTGCCAAATACTTATGTCTTTCCTCTAACCACTCTTTGATGCTCACCTTCAAGACTTCTCTAGGGCTGCCCCATTCCTTTCCCTTCTCCGTTAGACTTTCATCCAGTCTCCATTTCTTTGACAAATCATCGGAAACTCACTTCTTTAGGAAAGCATATCAATTTAACTGTTAACAGCCTTCCCTCTCCACACTCTGATTCCACTCCTGCAACTGTCAAAAATAACCCACTAAGCCCTCAGTGAATACATTTCTAGCAATCTAGTTTTCTATCCTAACCTTACCTTTTGTGTCATGATACCACACTCCCTCCAGCATGTGATCTCATTGAGCAGGGCCCTCAACAGCCCTGTTCCTGTGTTCCTGGTTGCAATTACCTATCTGTTAGTCTATCCATTGTACAGAACTGCAGAATTTGTGGGCGCTTTATAAATAGTAATAATAATAATACCCAAATGGTCCATCCATTCAAAGTCAAACTGCTCTTTTAGAGTGCCCAATTCGAACCATGGGACATAAATAGAAAGAGCTTGAGTTTTGTTGGTATTCAATTTGTATAATGAAATATCGCTGAATTCTCGCAGGATGGACATTAATGGTGTAATTGAGGACATTGGATTTTTTAATTATAGCATAATTTCATCCGCAAATACACCAATTTAATGAACTGTATCCCCAACTGCAATGCCCTTGAATTCTACACACTGTCTTTTAGTTGCAGCAAAGGGTTCCATTGCCAGCATAAATGTGGGCACCCCTGTCTGATTTAAGATTGACTATTTTTTTTACTAAAGTGAGAATTGTCAGATATTCAAAGAGAATTCAAAGTGAATTTTAAATTGTAGACAAAAATATTTCAACTAGAAGCATATCTGAATTAGGGAAATTTTCCAATTCAGCTATTCTGTTCCTAAACTTGAAAATCCCTTTGAATTACCACACTCACAATTTTCACTATTGTAAACAACCCTGGTTGAGTCGCTATTACAAAACATTATCTATCTATTCATACATATGTGATATATACATCAGTTTAATATACAAGCTATTCATTTTTTGTTCACATTATTAGTAAAAGCTCTTACTAGCTTACTAAAAGTTCTGCACAAGAATATGTATGGCACTATTCAAATATCTACAATATTGTAATTACATATTGCACTATTATTGTGTCCTCTTTTTAAAAAAAAATATATACATCTTTGGATATCTCTCTTTCCTTCTACGTATGTTAATGCAATAAACACAAACACACACACCAGGCAAGCCATAAGACTTGCTTTTATCACATAAATCTCACTTTAACAGTGCTCTCACTACTGCAAGGGATTCTGGATAGGCATGTGGAAATGAGCTAAACAAAGAACCACATTTTTGCCTCATAATTCCATTTTATACATGAATTCCTTGGAGTATGTGTCTGCTGCATACAACAGCTTTGAAACACAACTCAGGAAGAGGTGCAATGCCAGTGAACCACTCATGGACAGCTGTTTCATTATTATTTCAACTCATGAGCATGAGATAGGTTACTGGCTTACTATGGAGGCCTGGCGTTACTTGTTAAAAACATACCAAAGAAGTTGTGGTGGGGAAAAAAAATGTGGATGAAAACCCCTTCCACCTGATATAAGTGGATACTTAATGCAATGATAAACACAAATATACACACACCAGGCAAGCCATAAGACTTGCTTTTCAGACAGAAATCTCACTTTAACAGTGCTCTCGCTACTGCAAGGGATTCTGGGTAGGAATATGCAAATGAGCTCAACAAAGAACCACATATTTGGAATTTACTTTACATATATATGTTT